CTTCGAAATTTAAAATACGGTGAATAATTTTTGTTATAATAAAAATAATAATAATTATTAAATTTAATTATATAACTATCATTACTTTTTAATAATTATTAATTTTTAATTATGTAATTATTATTACTGTTATTATTATACATATTTTATTTAGTTCATTAAATAAATTATCGAAGACAACTGAACCGCTCGTTCGATTTTTCTATAAATTGAAAACGTTACAAATGACGTTGATGATGATGAGGATGATGATGGTGATGGTTAAGGTTGTTGCTGATGATGATGATAGTAATAGTTGTGGTGATGATGAAAGTTACTGATGATAGTAATAGTTGTGGTGATGATGATGAGGACATCATCAGCCTCCTTAGCGGTTATGTTTTACGCTAGCCATATTTTATGGATACTCGTTGGTGCGCGCGACTGCCTGTAGACTTTTACAACATTAAATACGTCCTTGGTATCTTTAAAGGTTTTTAATTTTATCGCGTTTTGAGCTGCTGATTGCAGATGCAGATAGGTTTGATTGTTTAAAAATTACAATGAGTCGAAAGTATAAAGTTATACTTTTTATGCTTATGATTTGATACGAGGCTAACATTCAAGCCACATATTCAGAAATGAACAGCAATGAATTTGTTGAACAAGTTCAAATTCTACATACGGAAAAATAAGCTAAGCATGTCGTACGAAACAAATATTGCAGATAGTTGTCATTGCGGGATCAAAAAGATTGCTGCTGTCTGTTTTTGAATGAACTTATCATTATTTTAAATCTTAAGCGATGATGATGTTGAATGAGGATAGTGAGGCTAATGATGATGATGAAGGTGTTGATGATCTTGGACACTGATGAAGACGACAAAGATGAGGATGATGATATTGATGAGGAGGGCGGTGACGACGATGATGATAACAATGGTGAAGATGACGATGATGATAACAATGGTGAAGATGACGATGATGATAACAATGGTGAAGATGACGATGATGATAACAATGGTGAAGATGACGATGATGATAACAATGATGAAGATGACGATGATGATAACAATGGTGAAGATGACGATGATGATAACAATGGTGAAGATGACGATGATGATAACAATGGTGAAGATGACGATGATGATAACAATGGTGAAGATGACGATGATGATAACAATGATGAAGATGACGATGATGATAACAATGATGAGGACGTCGACGATGATCACGATGTCTGTGGCAGTGGCGGTGGCAGTGCGATCGATCAATCAGAAATCAATATCACGAATATCTGCTATCTTCCGTTCTCTGTAACAAAAAGGTTATCGGTGGTTTTTGTTGATGTTGTGGTTGATGTTTTTGTTAATGGTTTTGTTGTTGATATTGTTTATGGTGATGTTGATGTTGTTTATGTTGATGTATATGCTGATGAAATTGTTGTTGCTGATGTTGCTGCAGTTGTTGTTGACGTTTTTGTTGAAAAGGTTTTTGATTTTTTTTTTGTTTTTTGATGTTGATTTAGAGTAGTCGTTGACAGCAATAGAGCTGACATTAAATGTGGTTGATGTTGTTGCTGTTTGTCGTCGTTGTTGTTGTTGTATTTTTATTTAATTTATAAAATTACTACAATTTTCTCTTCAATATTTTACAGAAGCATCAACAACAAACAACACAGTGCATGTGTAAATATACGTGAAACAGCCCATCACAACCACATACATTGCATGTGATGGATGAGGGTCACTTTGCAATTGAATCCGGTTACTGGAAAAGCAGTGCCAGACAGTTTACCGTTACACTATTGCGCCACCGTTTATGCTACTATAGTTGTCGTTGTTGTTGTCGTTGTTGTCATTGTGGTTGTTGTTGTTGTTTTGTTGTTTTTACCTTTTTATTATTATCATTGTTGTTGTTGTTGTGGTGGTGGTTACTTTGTTATGATTATTACTATTGTTGTTGTTGTTGTTGTTGTTATTGATTATACGTTGACTTCTATGTTGACGACCAAGCCTGCTCTGCTATGTCAGCCCGGCTTGCTGGATCGACGGAATGGTTGGATAAATGAATGAATGAGTGAATGAATGAATTAATTAATTATTGAATGAGTAAATGAATGAGTTAATGAGTAAATGAATGAATTAATGAATAAGTAAATGTGTGAATGAATGAATAAATAAATGAACAAATAAAACAATTGTATAAACGAACGAACGAACAAAACATACGGACTATCGAATGAATGAATGGATGGAGAGATAAACGTATGAATGGAGAGTTGGATGGATAGACGGAAGAATTGAAGGATAGAAAAATGGATGATCTGATGAATGGACTATATAATGGACGATTTGATGAATAGAAAAATGAAGAATGAAAGAATGAAAGGTGGATGAATTATGAATGGAGAACGTATTAGAGATAATGAATAAAATGGTGAACGAATAAACAAACGAACGATTGAATGAATGAATGAATGAACGAACGAATGAACGAAAGAATCAATGAAGTGAACAAAAACAAAGTACATGTGCGAACATATGCTTCAATTGAATGAACGAATGAACCCTCCATGAAACAAACAATTTTGTTATGTGTGTGTGTATGTGTGTGGTGTGTGTGTGTAGTTTTTTGTTTGTATGAACAACGAAGAAACCTGTGAAAAAGAACGTGTGAAAAGAAACAAAGGAAGAAAGGAAGAGAGAGAAGGAGAGAGAGGGAGAGAAAGAGGGAAAGAGAGAGGAAGAGAGAGAAAAATTGAGATTGAGAAAAAAAGAAAAATGGAAACGCAATTCGGGGAAGGAAAAGAAAAAAGAGGGTGAAAGAGAGAAAGGGAGTGAAAGAGAGAAAGAGAGAGAGGGAGAAAGAAAGAAAGACAGGATGAAAACATAATTAAGAATCGAACTAGACCCGAGTTAAAGATATAATTAGTTTGCGCTGATGATAACGATGAAGGTGATGGTGATGACGACGACGACGGTGATGATGATGTTGCTGATGAAAGTAGTGGTGATGATGATGATAATATAACAATGTTAACCCTGATGATGATGACAATGAGGATATATATGTAAGTACATATATATATATATATATATATATATATATATATATATATATATATATATATATATATATATATATATATATATATATATATATATATATATATATATATATATATATATATATATATCACTCAGCGCTCACCATTCAATACGTGAGATTGGAACATACATTCTTGGTGAAAACATGTTAGACAATTGTTCGGACGTGGATACATCATCTTCATCATCATCGTCGTCGTCGTCATCTTCATCATCATCGTCGTCGTCATCATCGTCGTCAACGTCATCACTATCATCACCGTCAACATCAACACTATCATCATCATCATCATCTTTATCACTGTCATCATCAACATGTATCATATTGTCTCGATCGATGAAGATCTGACTAAAAACGGTTTGTTGAAATGAAAATCAAAATGATTAAAGTATAGAATTGAATAATGAAAATTTTTTGCCGAATAACATCTTGCTAACAAACAATTGTTTATTTTTCTTAAAAATGTTTGCATTTTTGTATACAGAGCTATTACATCAGATTGGTTGATTAGTGATGTTACAACGGAATGATTTGACACAACACAATTTAATTCTGGCAAAAAAAAACTCTCAAATGGCAAAACTAACAAAGACAATCAAATCACTATAGAAAAAATAACAGGAAAGAAGAAACGTGTAACAAATGTTTCAATCCCAATCTATCAACACCTGGAATGTATCAATCATCACAGGTCATCAGGAGAGTGAACAACAATCGGACCGAATACCACAGTTATAGATGATATCAATGATTATTAACAAACTTGAATGGTATCGTCTACATTAAAAGAACAAACACCACGAACCACAGAAACGTTTAACCGCAAATAATCGATCACAGAATTATATAAGCGACGACGACAAAGGGATGTAATATAGTATCAAAAACATTAACAGTATCATACAAATGCACCAAATAAATGATCAATCAACATATCAATCAAATAATCAACTAGCAATCAATCAATAGAGAACGAGAAATAAATTAGCCAATCAGCAAGGATAAAAATCCGACACAAAATCAGCCAACCAATGGCGTCCCTTCTAAAAGCTCCAGGCCTGAGTACCAGCCAATCAAATGGAGGTCTCTCAATGATAGCCAATAAGAAGTGTGAAACACCCAACGACATTGTATACAGGAAGGTTCGTTCTATGGATTTTAACCCTTCATGTAACCAATTATATTATTATTATAATTAAAAGTAGTAGTAGTAGTAGTAGTAGTAGTAGTAGTAGTAGTAGTAGTAGTAACAGTAGAAGTAGAAGAATTAGCTACAGTAGTAGTAGTAGTAGTAGTAGTAGTAGTAGTAGTAGTAGTAGTAGTAGTAGTAGTAGTAGTAGTAGTAGTGGTGTAGTGGTTGGTAATGCAAGATAGAATTTAATGTGAGAGCATACAGGGAGTTTGTATATCATGTAGAAAGTTAGTAATATTAAATATCAGGATGATTACTTCAGTTACACTGCAGATAAAACTATAGTCTAGAACAACTGTCGTTTCATTGTAACAGAGAAGATGGTGTACAATGGTGTTTTTTTACATAGGTACGCACATACATACATAGGTACATGCATACATACACACGCATGCATTTATAAATATTTACAAAAAGCATGCAAATATGCGATATGAAAAATATTTAATTTAAAGAAAATATTTACGAAACCACGCATACAATTAGATACAAACATTCAATAAGATACAAAAATATGCATGTGCATGCATACAATTAAAAACAAATACACAACTACATACAATCGCATACAAACACACGCATACAAATTTTAAAACACAAGCAAAAAATTTATGAAGAGCATATGGCAACATAAAAAAAATGCATATAAAACACGAGCCTTGCACAGACGCACAATATTGGAACAGACATCATCGCATACAAACAAAGGTCTATAAACATGCAGGCACACACACGCACACACACACTAGACACACACATACATACGCATACAAACAAGCCAACCACACATAATTATACGTGCACACAAGTGCATTACAAACTTACAGTGTATACATATATACCACACTCAAATAAATTTAACAAATATGTACAAAACTCAAAAGCAAAAACGATCACACACACACAAACAAACGAACAAACACGTACACACATCTACACAAACAGACCCATACACTTTGGTGATTTGAAATTCTTGATTCAATTATTGCTTACGATTCTGTTCTTTCATTTGTTTGTACATCTGTTTGTTCATTTGTTTGCTCATTTGTTGTTCATTTGTTTGTTCATTTGTCTTTTTTCCGTTCTAAAATATTCTAGAGGTACGTAAGTGTGATTATTTACATTTTGTTCTTTCATTTATTGAAATCTTATTACATCGGTCTATTTTCATTCGTTCGTTAATCCATTTGTTCATTCATTCATTCAGTCAATCATTCATTCTTTTATTCATTCATTCCCTCGTTCACTTATTTGAACGACCTCCATTCATTCCTTCCAAAAATCATTCGTTTATTTATCTGTACATTTATTTATTTATCTATCTATTCCTTCGTTCGTTCATTCACTTAATCGATCGCTCTTTCATCCTGAGACCATTCAGTCATTCATTTATTCATTCATTCAGACATTCTTTTTGTCTCCTCAATCAATCAATAACATCCTCAGATAGCAGGCATAAACAGCTGATAATGATGGTGAAGATGATGATGACGACGATAATTATGATGATGATGATAATGATATTGACTATTACGATGATGATGATGATGACTATGATGATGATGGCTATGATGACGATGATGATGACGACGACGAGAATGATGATGGAAATTTGTTCATTACTTTTAACCAGCTAACAAACTCTATTGGAAAATATTAAAATTATTAAAACCATAAACTGTTAGCACTATTATTACAAATATAATTATTATCGTTAGTGTAATCATTTCATCATCACCATTTCCATCATCATTATCAATATTAATTATTATAACGACAATAAATAATATAATTATGGTTAATGCCTTATTACCATAATGTTTTAACATATTACCATAATTATCAATATTATAGCCATTATTATTATTATTATTACATATATAATTACCATTATTATTAAACCATTATATTATAATAGTATAATACTAATTAAATTATTATTAATATTATTATTATTCTGCCATCGCTTTTATCATCATCACAATCTAAAAAGATGGAGACTTTTTTGGCCAAAATGCAGCAGAGTGAAACAGGAGTGCCAATACGTAACGTTAAATACTTCATCACAAAGATACCCAGCGTATTTTCAGGTACTTGCTTTCGGTTTCCTTTTTGTATTTGTATTGTTATTATTATTTTTGCCTTTATTATTATTCATTATTATTATTAATTATTGTTATTCCTACTAATTTTATAGGAAATAAATAGCAAGTGTTTGTCTGTATGTGTGTGTGTGTGTGTGTGTGTGTGTGTGTGTGTGTGTGTGTGTGTGTGTGTGTGTGTGTGTGCTACTGAATCCATTACTATGTGCGATTGTATGGGTTGGGTATGTGTCATTATTTTTTTAAGGTTTGTTATTCTTATTTCATTATTATTATTATTATTTATATTATTATAAATTTATATCATTCACTACCAGGCGTCGACTTGACATCATGGATCCTGCGATGTTTGGACGTGGACGACACACGTAAATGAATGAATGAATGAATGAATGAATGAATGAATGAATGAATGAATGAATGATTGGTGGACACGTCTGGCCAGGGTTTTTAACAAACAATACTCTCAAATTCTATCGCCAATAACAATACAATACCGGCTTCAAAATGCTTGTACAAAAAGCTGCTTGTAGAAACTTATTTTCTACAACAATACCGTTTTTTAAACGGTTCTACATAAAAGCGGATCTCTTATTATTTTATCCATAACAACGCATTCGGTAGTTTATGCTTAAAAGTGGAAATGAATGCGAAACAATAAATTGTTTGAATCATCATAACTTTATGAAATAAAAATATCAATTTTCTTCATTTTTTTTCATAAAGTTGTTGCCAACAAATGAAATGTTTGTGGAAATATTTTTTTAAAGTAACTGCTTTTTAAAAGTTGAAAAATTTGAAAAATTTTTTTAAAGTAATTTCTTTCTAAAAGTTGAAAAAATTGTTGATTAGAAGGTTGAGCAGTTTTTTTGGCATTTTTTCAAATCCCTCAAAAAATGTTGTTGTTTCAAGCTATACAGGACAACGGTTACAAAAATTTTTTTAAAAACAAGCATGCAAAAAACAGTATACATAACTTAACTTAAGTTCCGAATTTACCTAAAATTGAAATAAGCATTAATAAAAATATATCCGCTTGGCAATCAAATGTATCAGTATCGAGTATCAACGATCTCCAGTTAGATACTCAGTATCAAAATTATTGCCAATTTTGAAAAAGTATTGCCGATACAATATCGGCGATGCCAATTCTTCCATATTAACCACCATGCTTCTATTTGTTCCACGGAGAAATAAAATTGTTATTAATTGTTGTTTCAAAATGTGGCATCACTTCTGCTGTTGATATTTTGTAATGTCCGATAGATTTAATCATGTTGTTTCAACTGTTTGTTAATTCATTTATCCTATCATCAATTCGTTTATTCATTCATTCATTTATCTAACCATCAATTCATTCGTTCAACTGTCTACCCATTATTATTCATTTATCCAATTATTCATTTACTTATTTGTTTAACTGTCCATCCAACTTTCTGTCCATTCATTCATCTATATATCCATCCATTTTTCCATCCATCCACCAATCAGAAGAGGCGCTGCACCTTGCTCAAATGATGACCTCACACGGCTACATCTTCCCCATCGACGACCACATACTCATGTTCAAAAATGATAACACTTACTACAGATTCCAAGTGAGAGTGAGTGAGTGAGAAAGAAAAAAACACAGAGAAAGAGAGAGAGAGAGAGAGAGAGAGAGAGAGAGAGAGAGAGAAATTTAAAAGAAAGTTAAAACAATTATAAAGAAATAATATATATATATATATATATATATATATATATCATCATCATCTTCCTCGTCCTCAACATCATCATCATGGCAGACACCTTGCTTTTGGCCCAGCATGAATTCGGAACCGGATGATCAGGATTATGGTTAGGATTGATGGAGAAGATGATGACGTTGATGATGGTGACGTTGATGTTGGTGATAATGTTGATGATGATGGTGACGAAGATGATGATGATGACGATATTGAGAATGATGATGATGATGATAATAATACAAATAAAAACTAGAATGATGATGATAGTGATGATGGTGATGATGATGGTTATGTCGTTTGAATTTTGAAATGTCTTTTCTTTGTTTTCGCAATCTTTAATAGCAGAATCATTAGTGTTGGTGTTTGAAAAATTCTCACACACTCCCTACTTCTCTATCTCTCTCTCTCTCTCTCTCTCTCTCTCTCTCTCTGTCTCTCTCTTTCTTTCTTTCTTTCTCTTTCACACACACACAACTTGTCACACACACTCACACACACACTAACACGAACACACGTAATATTTATATATATATTTATATATATATAGTAATTCAATATTATTTGCATATATTCCTTTTAATACCTGTTTATATATTTATAGAATTTTGTGTGTAAATACAAATTGAATTTATTCAATTTCACAAACAATATGGGAATGAATAAATATGGGAGTGAACAACATGGGAATGAACAACATGGGAATGAACAACATGGGAGTGAACAACATGGGAGTGAACAGCATGCGTGTACATGTGCGTGTGCATAATCACGTATGCTGAAAGTTAGAAGAATAACTAATAAAACATCAGACAAGCCTGCATGGACACATCTATAAATAGAAACATACATACATGAACGCAAACAAACACGTGCACAAACATGTAAGCAAGCATACAGGCACACGTACAAACACATGAAGATGTTGAGAAAAAAACCAACGTATACATAGAGACAAACAATTGTACAAGTAGATAGGCATACACACAAACCCACAAACACACAAACATACAAACATACAAACCTAAATACATACATCATACATTGGAACCAGCAACATCACCAGCCTAGCTGTGCTCTCCGTCTTGCAGCTTCCAGATGTACACACACATACAAACAAACATATGCATACAATCATACAAACATACATACATGCACACTTGAAAACATAACCACATACATACGAACACACGTAAACATTAACTTACAAACATGCATACAATACAAACAAACACATGCATACGTAACTGCAAACAAACATTCATGCGTACATGATAAAATAAATACAAACGCATACGAAAATGGGCGCATTTATACAATTAAAAAGACACATACACATAAACATACAAAGCACGAGCAAGCGTAAACACGTTGGCCTAAAATGACGAACAGGAAATACATTCAAACACCAAACACATATAAATTTATAAACAAATCCTCACAAGCTTAGGTAGGTAGGTAGGTAGGGGGTGAGTTAGGCAGGTAGGTAGGTAGGGAGAGATGTAGGTAGGTAGGTAGGTAGGTAGGTAGGTAGGTAGGTAGGTAGGTAGGTAGGTAGGTAGGTAGGTAGGTAGGTAGGTAGGTAGGTAGGTAGGTAGGTAGGTAGGTAGGTAGGTAGGTAGGTAGGTAGGTAGGTAGGTAGGTAGGTAGGTAGGTAGGTAGGTAGGTAGGTAGGTAGGTAGGTAGGTAGGTAGGTAGGTAGGTAGGTAGGTAGGTAGGTAGGTAGGTAGGTAGGTAGGTAGGTAGGTAGGTAGGTAGGTAGGTAGGTGTAGGCAGGTCTGTTGGTGAATTCACGCATTGAAACATTTAAACAAATGTGGCAACGTTAATACAAGCAGGCAGGCAAACGTTAGCACACGCAAACACATATTTAGCCATCTAGATATGCTCACATACAATAGAGTATTATATACATGTGCACATACGCACGCACACACACACGCACAAAGAAACCAAATAGATAAAAAACGAAATAGGCGCATTTGTGGCGTTCAAACGTGCTAAAAATACCTGCAACCATGTACTGAGACGCATTTTAACAATTGTTGACGCACGCAAACGCGCAGAGACGCCCATTAAATCTTGCAAACACGTTTTTTATGAACAAGTGTTTACGTATGCACACACACGCACACCAACATGCACGCACATGTATACGTGCACATACACGCGCAAATATGCACATACGCACAGAGGCACCAACGTAGAAAGACCGGTCACCAGTCGCAGAACACTTCAGAAATATCCTTCAAAAGAACGGCTTCAAAAAAATTGTATTGCCGACTGCAACAATAATTACGAGAGGACAATGCATGACAACCATGCAAACCATAATAACACAAAGTAATAATAATAATAAAATAATAATATTATAAAATCATATTAATAACAACAATCCACCCAGCAGTATCAATAATCGAATCGGGACAAAAAATGCATCGTCAGAATATATTTAAACAATTTCGTTAACATTGGAAGAATATTAATCTATCGACATTAACACAAAACACAGCAGCATGAATAGCAAGCAACAACCAGTTTAACAAGAAACAGTGCACATCTTAAACACATACATTCACACACACATACATACACATACACACACACATCATTTACGATAAACATCACACACACATCAGATAAACATACAGACACCACACACACACACAGCCGTGTACTTATGCAAGCGAACCATGCTGGGCAAACAGCGTTTGGAGTTGGCTGATTTTGAAGCTGAGAACCTTTCAAGACTTCAGAAGACGTTTGCCAGAAAATGGGAGTTCATATGCATGCAAGCTGACGCTCAAGCCAGGTTCGTTCGTTGTCTTTCTGACTGACTGTCTGACTGAGTGTCTCTATGTTTTCTTGTTTGTTTTTTTGTTTGTTTTTCTATCTGTTTCTGGCTCTATGTTTTTTAATGAATCAATATACCTCTAAAAATATATATCAAATTAGCGAACGAACATTTCTTTATGTCATCAGAATAATCGTCATCATACTTTCTGCCTTCATTACTCATCATCAACACTCTCATCACTATCATCTTCATCGTCATAATCACCACCATCATTATTATCATCATCATCATTTTGTCATAATTATTATCATCACCATCGACCCCATCCAGACTAGACAAGAAGCGAGACAAGTCAGACAGACAGGTGATAGATAGCCAGGAGAGGGCCTTCTGGGACGTGCACAGACCTCCGGTGCAAATTATTATTCATGTTTATTCTTCTTCTTGCCATTGATGTCATCATCATCATCATCGTCCTCATCTCCAAACTTCCTAATTGTTCTCTATAACTTATGTTATCGTCGTCACCATCATCCTAATCTCAAAACATCATTACAAGATTATCATTTTCATCATCTTCACAATTATCATCTCCATCACAAAATCGCTAGTACGATGCATGCACGCACACGCGCCATTACATGACCAGATTAACCAAATGAACAATTGTGCTAGATATTTTTCAACTCTCTTTTTTTCTCAACCGCATTTTCATCTTAATTCCATGAAATCAAGTTACATCATTCATATATCTCAATTATTTCTCTATTTTATTATCATCGTTATTATGTCACGTGTGTAGGTTGTGTGTGTGTGTGTGTGTGTGTGTGTGTGCAAGCCGTGTATGTTGTATGTGCGTGTGTGTGTGTATGTGTGTTTTATCACATCACATAATATCATATCCAAACAGTTAGTGATATAAGAAGCATACGACTTACTTTGGAAATAAACATCAAGCGTAACGGCCTTACAAATGCATCATACATACAACCAAATTAATTAATTAATTAATAAATACATACAACCATTTGCTTTAATCGTGTTATGATTAGTTTGACCTAATAACACCACAAACGTCTTTGACATACAGCCTGGTTGCGTCAATACGACTGAAGTGGACATCGCCAAGACGTGCAGGATGACCAATCGCATTAGAGTTGTCTACAAGGTAATTAGGTCAGGTCGTTAACTGGCTATAATATAATTAATTGGGTCAGTCATGAATGAGTTGTTTGAGTCATATTATTATTTATTTGATAGCTTTTCAATTATAAAAATCGTTAAAGTTTAAATTTAAGTTTAGTAGAAGTCGTTTATAAGTTATTTTTAAATAAGAAGTTTTAAAAAACATGAAAAATACATGAAAATGTCAATAGTATGATTTTATATAACCACACCATCATAACAACAAACAAACAATAATGATGACGTCATATTAAAAAAGCCCGCCTACAACGTTTTCGGTGGCTCCATATCTCCAAACGTCCTCGAGAGAGATAATAAAGGTGCCGAAGAGAGAACCATTGAAGATTTAACACTTGAAGTTAGATATTGCATCTATCACAATTCATTCACCAATTAATTAATTTTAATACTAAATTGTGATATTAAAGAATTAGCATTTCAATTATAGCCATAATATTAATTATAATCATAATTATAATTATAATATTTATTATAATTATATTACAAAAGGTCAACCAGTTGCGGGTTTTAATGGACAGAAGTAGAATAAAAATATCTAAAGCTGCTGACGTGTTAGTGATGTCGAAAAATGAGTGGATGGATTAATGAACGAATAAAGGGATGAAAAAAAATGAATGAATGAAAAAATTAATTAATTAATTAATAAACGATAAGTGATTTAATAATTAACTGATTGATTCACTGATTGGTTGATTGATTGATTAATTGATTGACTGATTGATTGACTGATTTACAGTTACATAGCATACAGCGAACAATACAAAGACTACGACCTCTTCATAAACAACACTGATCTCATCAATCCCTGGCTCACTGACAACTGTGAATATTGGGACGATGAATCCACCCTGTTCGTCTATTACAATGTTCATTGAATTATCACAAAATTTTAATTATCTAAGTCAGAAATTTCTTCCGTAGAGACTTGAAAGTTTAGGATAAATTAATTCTACAAAAATTTCGAGAAAATGTTTTGCGGGGACTGAAGCCTTGAAACTTTTTTTCATCTGCGTCTCTGTTTTGTTCGTTTAATTATCTGTTATTTGATTTATTTTATAAGCAATCATTTGGAAAATAATTTTTCTGATCGGTAAACTAAGCGATCAATCAATCAATCAATTAAACTCTGCAAACACATATGTAATAATCAATCAACCAACCGACCAACCAACTAACCAACTAACTAACCCTTCAACCAATCGACTGACCATCCGACCGACCAACTCCAGAAAGGACGTCCCCCAGAGGCGCGTACGCAAATGGAGTTTCAGCATTCGAGAACTGCTGAAGGATGTGGCGGGTAGGGATCATTTCATGCTCTTCCTCGAAAAAGAATTTAGCGCCGAAAATTTAAGGTCGTCATCATGACCACGGGATGGTGATGATGATCGTTATAATGATACTTTGAAGATGATGATAATGATGTTGATGATACAATGGAACGGTGATGATGAAGTATGTTTGTAGCAGTATTTGGTATACCATTTAAATACTGATTTTGACCAAGTACTTGCAAAGCATTTAAATACTAGACATTTGAGTTTTTGAATATAACAACATGACTGGATATGACGCTGGTACGGTGATTGTGATTATGAAAATGGATTAGTTTATTTTTATCCTCAACAGATTTTGGGAAGCATGCCAGATTTTACACAAAATTTCAGAATCGAGAGTCAAACAGACTGTGCGCAACATCTATAGGCACGTTGCTCCACCTCGTCTATATTCACCTCCCCTCCATGTCATCACTCTCTCGTGGACATCGTCAGCATCATCGATATCATCATTTTCAAATATTCACCAATTTATTTTCATCATCATCACATCATACTCAACAAACGACAAACGAATAAATATCACATCCCCCAAATCACATTACATCACATCAAATAACATCACCTCCTATCACACCACATCCAATTCTACCACATCCCACCGCATCACCTCAGTGAGTTCCTGGACACCACAGCCAGTGATCCGGTGAACATTGACTGTCGTGTGGCGGAGATTGTACGTCGCAAGATGGCGTCCCCTGATAGATACTGCTTCGAGGAGGCAGAAGTAAGAATTCTACCCTCTCTCTCTTTAGAAAAAACCTTCATAGAAACAAGTTTAAACTTTGTTTGATTGTTTTGTTTCGTCCGAAAAGGATTCATAGTCTAACTTTAGTTTAAGCCACTGGAGTAGAGTGGTTAGATCAGAGTGAGAAAACACCTGATGGAATGAGAGGTGCTTAGTTGGAAAGAGACAGCAGCTGCTTAGTAAATGATGTTTTGTTCAATAAAAATTAGATAAGCGTGTATTCGGTAAATTAGCACTTTCCGTGACGTATCGACATGATTAGAAGCTGGAGCCAGTACACTTGGCGAGAACATTGCAGGTGTCACCAAAAAGCGATGGAAAAATCAAGGTTCAGCCATAGACAGTCCTAAAACACAGGAATGGGATTTGATGGTTTAAAGATATGTTTGGCGCTTGCTCATGGGAACATTTTATGGATAAGTACAACTCTTATGGATGAGAATGAAGTTAGGTGACAGATGAAACTTTTTTTATAAATGCAGAAATGATGATGAATATACTTTTTCACAAATATCATTCAATAGAATTTTTCATAGAATAAGCTATAATGCACTTTGTTTGCGGCCGCCAGGACCAGATCCTACAGCTGATGAAAAATGACAGTTACAACCGCTACATTAGATCCGACATGTACAAAGAATTTCTACTCACTGCAAAGAAAAAGGTTTGTTGTGGCATGGCAGCACCACCTATGCACGTACGCGCACACGCATCTACGCACGTAAACATGCACACAAACACGCGAACACACGCAAAAACACACGCACAACACTAGCGGATGTCACTTACGCAAAGAAAACAGAACCACAAGCAGACGCGCACACAGGGGGACGCAATGCGTACTTATTAATATATTATTACGCATCTCCTGCACACAAACAGCTGTAAATACCTAACACACATACACGAACATTCATTGCACACTTATATACACACAAATCAACACACATCTACAAACACAAATCTACACACACACACACACCTTGAAACACCCACATAAACATACATATGCACAAAGCAGCAGAGCAAAAAAAGATTCACTAGTGACGTCAGAAGGTTTCGTGAACTGACGTCATCCAAGAGTCAACCGAACGTCACAAATACTAACATTGAGTCTTCCTGATGATGATGGTGATGGTGATTATAAAGATGAGGATGATGACAAAACCTAATAATTTTGAGATTAATCTGTGATAAGCTTGCTTTCGATAATAGATTGCGATTGTGACAATGTTGATGAAGCTACAGCTGCTGCTGCTGCTGATGATGAAAATGATGATGAAAATGATGACGATGATATTGATGAAGGTGTTGATTAAATAACTAGTGGAACATCTTAAACAATAATTAAAGCAAATAATTATAACGTTATCGTCGACCAACTGATAAAATTTATTTTACTGAAATGAGATTAACTTAAATAATTGAAATAATAAATATATAAATAACTATTTATATCAAAATATAAAATAGACAAAATATTTTTATTTAAGAAATTGTTTAAATTAGAATAAACTCAAACTACGTACAATTATCGATCGTTACGTAACACGTGTAATTATTATTTTTTTAAATAAAATGCAAAATGCAGCCGATGTGTTTCTGCGTTCCATGACTTACGACCTCAAGACCACCCCCTTGTTCAAGAGAGTTATGCGCCATGCTCACATAGCCAGAAAATTACATTTTCGAATGTTTTTTAAATAATTTGAAATATTTTTTTTCTTTTATTTCATCTGTAGTTGGGCTCATTGTGGTAACAAAAGATCGTTCGTTCTCTTCATTTGTTGTCGACATGAACATACATCATCATCGTTCGTGACGTCACTCGATGCATGAAACGTCATTGAGGTTTTGAAAATACAACGAATTTAATAAAACTTAAAATTTTTCTACATTTAAATTTTATGTTTAAAAAATCATTTAATCAACATAAGATAACTTATTTATTTTTGAGACGAATTGATAAATCAAAAACGCTAAAGTGCTGCAAGCAGAAAAGAAGTATGGTTTCGCCTTAGTGCACTAAAGCAACTTAGTAAAAGAAATTAATACAAAATTCAAACCTCAAAATGTTATGAATGAGTGTTTTGTTTGTAAAGGTTATAAGAGGCTTCATTATGCGTACACGTTACCAATCCTTTTTTCGGTTACAATTTTCATATTTTAACATTTTTCATTTTAGAAAAATACTGATTTATTTGGTAACCGAGCAAGAAATATCTGTAGAAGTCCTAAAATTTTCTGGAATTTTTATTTATACTCATGTCACACTGTTATAGTAAGAAACAACTTTGTGAGACAAAATTTTTTTCAAAATTCACTTTAGTAAAAGCGAGCAAAACAAAATGTACAAGCAAATCACTAAACACAACGACTGATTGATTGGAAAGAAGATGTGCAACATGACAGATGAAGGAATTTTAAAGAGACGTTGTACACAACTAGACATATGCATAATCAATATTATTATCTTTAAATCATCACAAATTAGTTGATATTTCAGTGAATACATATTTCGATATAACTTTGTATGTCTGATATCGTCTTAAGTTGAAGGTGCTTGAGTGCTGATTCGGAGTGACCTGGTTTGTATGCAAAATACATTTTTTTATAATAAAAACTCTTAATTTCTAGTTAATAGCGTAAAAATCTAATAATGTAACTGCTTTAAATGATTTATGCATAATTTTTTCATAGAACCTTTAGTTTTTAAAAGTATTTTTCTTCAACCATTTAACTAATTTAATTGACAAATCCGGAAAAATAAACAAATAATGGGATTTTTGTTTTCGTTTCATACCGGACGGCACTTTTTTTTTAAATTTGTCTGATTTATTTTTGATAATCAAAATGGAATAATATTAATTCCATTTAAATATTCACTCAACTATATAATTTTTTAAATAAATTTGTGATTACGTAAAAAAAATTGAAAGCAATTCCGAATTAAATTTAAAATTGAAATAACAATTGTTGAATTGTAAAATATGAAGTTGAACAGCATTTTGTTTCACTTCACATGGACCTTCTTGGGGACGATAATTTTGTCTGGTGGAGCTTCAGGAATTTCCGATTCCGCAGTTGGACTGATTGACGTAAGTTGGGAAAGCGGTTTCCTTCTTCTCTGATTACCTTCACCACTTCCTTCATTTTGTGTCCTCTTCTGTTTCATGATAAACATTTTATTATTGTTGTTCAATAATTAATAGACTAATAATTTATCCTTTATATATATTTATTTATTTATTTTTATGGTTAACAATAAAATAATTAATTATAAAATTATTAGGTGGGACAT